GGCTGCACAACCTCATTCATGTCCACTGATGGCCACCTCTTTCTGAAAGTTGTTGACTGCTTACAGAAAGTTTCCTTCACCTTCGAAAATGCTTGCGCTTTCCTAACAGTAACGGTTATTTCGTAACCGCCATCTTTTTAGACTTGATTTGACCAAGGCTTTATTGAGAAGAGAATTAACTTATTTGCCGTCCTTGAAATTAGTGCATATGGTAAAACTGTCAATTTTTTATGTAGAGACGAACTTTGAAATCTTCAATTGTGCCGAGCTTAAAAGTCACGACAGTCGGCTGGCTCATCAGGAACACCGGCCCACGCGCACTGTACAAACGGATGTAAAAAAAGCCTTGTTGACTGAATGACCTGATGAGGAAAGGGAGCTACCTCTCGAAACATGTTTACATAACAGGCTAATAAGTATTGACTTGGCAAGAATATAACAATTTTTTGTTTGTTTTTCATTTCCTCAGAGTAGAACCGGCGGCCCATTTATCGGGGTTTTCTGAACCCGATGGAAATGGAAAAGCCGCGGGCAAAAGGCAGAATGTAAAAAGTAAGAGATATCAAATTAGAGCCTCTCCCAGCCTCAGGCCGAACGGGTAATTTGCATTCCACCTACACTTTTAACTTTAAGATAAACAGTGAACATTAAAGGGAAGAATATATCACAATGGGGCGTCCACGATATAGCCAAGTCCGGCATAGCAATTTAATAATTGTATGTTATTTATTAAATTATATATAAGAGGGATTTGTTGTATCCTGTATTGGAGAGAACAGAAGAAATGCGAAATAAAGGACGCATGCATTATTTTATTATTAATTTCCATAGATTAGATGATTACTTTCTTATAAAACGGACTCAAAAAGTTTCCCATATTTCACCCATTTTTCAAGATCATTTAGTAAATAAAACGGAGGCGAAAAGATTGCCATTTTCTCAAAACATGTTTTTCCTATTTTTTCGTTTTATTTTGCTTAATATTCTACGAAATTCATAGTTTTCTTTAATCCTTTTTATTTAGTGGTCTGATTGTCCAAATTATTTCTTTCAATTAATTAATTTTTTATGTAAGGTTTTGGTTGATATGAAAAAGTTAGTGTCATGAGGGGGATTCGAACCCACGACCTTCGGCTCAATACGCCGCTACTCTAACCTCTTGAGTGTCACGATAGGCGATTTTGAAAAGAATTTTTATGATCATCAAGTAGACGTTTTAGAATAATTATATTTAAGGAATTGTAAATATAATGTATAGTTTTATTAAAAAGAAAAATGTCCAGTAAGAAAAAAACCGATAATTTTTTTCCAAATTTCCAATTCTATTCATATTAGAACTACTAACTTTAGGATAATTACAATCTATTATATTTCGTGGTCCGATTGACCAAATAACTACTTTCAATTAATTAATTTTTATGTAAGGTATTGGTTGAAATGAAAAAGTTAGTGTCACGAGCGGGATTCGAACCCACGACCTTCGGCTCAATACGCCGCTGCTCTAACCAGAGCAACCACGAACCAGTGGTAAGAGCAGCGGCGTATTGAGCCGAAGGTCGTGGGTTCGAATCCCGCTCGTGACAGTACCTTGTTCATTTCAAACAAAACTTTACATAAAGGTTTTTTTCCATTGTGAATTGTAACTTTTTGGCAACAACCTAAAGCTGTGACAAAATATTATATCTTTTCGTATTTTATTTTTTTATTTCCACATACGTGATTTTTTATTTATTTTTTAATAAATGGTACGATTGTTTGGCGATTATTAATCTACAAAATAAAAAAAATCCTTTTATTTATTTAATGGGTGGGGACCGTTTTTCGTACTTGGTTAGTTTTTCCAAATTTTTCTGTTTAACTCGATTTCGAGGCATTCCTTGCTAATCCAAGTTTGTAATTTTTTTTAAGCGTCAAACTCTAAAATCGTACCGTGTTTCAACAATTTATCTAGGCTATTTTGTTGTTCAAAGAAAGGCCGAATGTTGCCATTTTTCAGTACCATTTTCTAAATATCTAATTCGGTCTATTACAACCAGTTAGTTTTATTATACAAATAGCTGTAGCCAGGTTTTTTTTTCAAATAAGGAATCGTTAGTTTTTTTTTGTAACAATCTAAATTTGTGACAAAATTGTACAGCTTTTTTTTATACAAAAACATTAGTTTTTCTTGGATAGTTTTTAATAAATGGCTTGCTACGATTTTTTGTCTACTATAACTCAACAAAATAAAACGATTATAGTTTCACTTTGATAGTGTTTTCGAATAAAAAAACGTACCGAACTTGAAAAAAATACAACTTTTCAGGGGAAGCGATCGAATTTTTCCCGTTGCCGTCCAATTTTCGCCATAAAACCCTTACACACCGTTTTCTCTTGCACTAAAGACCAATTTTTTAGTTTTGAAGGTAGTTTTTGAAACAACACACACACATATATATATGTTCAAAAAATAAAAATGTACCAACAATTTAAATTTGTGACAAAACTGTACACCTTTTTTTATACGAAAAAATTTGTTATCCTTTGAAGTTTTTAATAAATAAATAACTTGCGACGATTATTTGTTTTTTATTACTAAAAAACGTACCGAACCTTTAACAAAAAATACAATTTTTCATGGGAAGCGATCTAATTTTTCCCGTTGTTTACGCCATAAAATCCTTACACGCCGATTCCTTTCGCAGTAAGGACGAATTTTTTAGTTTTGAAGGTAGTTTTCGACACAGAATATTCATGAAATATATGCTTTGAGAAGTTTAAGGGATTGAGATTTGCAAGTTCATCAAGGCGAGATACATCCAAGAAACTTTATTCGCAACTTTCAAAAAAGTTATATGAAGCACTTCTAAAGGAATCTCATGGTATTAGTTTCAATTTGTGCGTAGAAGGTAGTGGTCTAATAAATAAAAATATACATTAACGAAATTCATTTTTGGGTTCGAAATAGCGGTCGCTACCCCACAAAGTCGCGATGGACCATGCTCCATCCTGTATAATTAAAAAAAAATAAATAAATAAATACGGTTCTGGCAAATACCTGTATTACGTTTGTACTCATTTTTTTATTGCTTTTGTTTCATTTCTATCTTTATGTTCTGTTTTTATATATTTTTTATTATAATAATATCTTATTTTCTTAATTTAATTCTTCTTAGTTTTCTTAATTCTTAATTAATCTTAATTTAATCTAATTTATTATATTAATATCTTGTATTTTAAATAATTTCGTAAAGCCTTAGTAGGTAAGTTAATAGATAAATACAGTTAAGTGTTTTCATTTTCAAATTAACCCTTTTTTATCTTAAAGTTAACTTCTTCTAAAATTGACCAATTTTGTTTCAAAATAGTTGAACACAGTTAGTTTTTTACTTGAAACTAATCCGTTACAGTTTCAAATTAACTTTTTTAACTTTAAAATTTACCCGTTTTTCCTTCAAAATAAATCTTTTTAATTTCAAATTATATCATTTTAATTTCGAACAACCCTTTTTAATTTGAAATGAATCCATTCTTTAAAGAGTTAATAGTTTAAACTCAGGAGATAGTATTAAAATTCGTGTATATTTGTCTCTTAGAAAACTGTATGAAAATTCATTAACAATTGTATTAAATAGGAAAACAAATGATTCTTCTTTTTATTTGAGGTTTTTGTTAAATAGAAAATAATTGGCCTCTTCGAAGACCATAACATGAAAACTGATACTACTTAAATTAAAAATAGTGTAATATTAAATAGTAAAACAAATGAGTCTTTTTTTATTTTTTAACTACTTTAATTTCAAATTATCTTTTTGTTTAAAGCATTCAAAAAAACTTACGAGATGGTACGTAAAGTTGTTATCTATTTGTCTCTTAGAAGACTGTATGAAAATTAATTACAATTAAAATTAAAAATTATATAATATTAAACAGGAAAACAAATGATTCTTCTTTTACGTTTTAACTACTTTTTTAAGTATATACTAATTGGATTTTTAATAGCAAATTAACTTTTTTTTAAGGATTAAAAAAAAACTTACGAGATGGTACGTGAAATTGTTATCTATTTGTCTCTTAGAAGACTGTATGAACATTAATTACAATTAAAATTAAAAATTGTATTAAATAGGAAAAGAAATGATTCTTCTTTTAATCTGAGATTTTTTAAGTGTAGAATAATTTAAGTAAAATTCTTATATATTTGTTTCTTAGAAGACTGTGTGAATTTTAATTACCATTAAAATTAAAAATTATGTATTAAATAGGAAAACAAAAGATTCTTCTTTTACGTTTTAACTACTTTTTTAAGTATATACTAATTGGATTCTTAAAAGCAAATTAACTTTTTTTAAAGCATTAAAAAAAAAACTTACGAGATGGTACGTGAAATTGTTATCTATTTGTCTCTTAGAAGACTGTGTGAAAATTAATTCCAATTAAACTTAAAAATTATATAATATTAAATACAAAAACAAATGATTCTTCTTTTTATTTGAGGTTTTTTTGAATATGAAATAATTGGCCTCTTCCAAGACCGTAACATATAAACTGATACTACTTAAATTAAAAATTGTGTGATATTAAATAGTAAAACAAATGATTCTTTTTTATTTTTTAACTACTTTAATTTCAAAGTAACTTTTTGTTTAAAGCATTAAAAAAACTTATGAGATGGTACGTAAAGTTGTTATCTATTTGTCTGTTAGAAAACTTAAAATTAATTACAATTATTATTACAAACATTGGGTGTAAATATACTTAAAACGTTATAAACAGGGAGGTGAATTTGTTATTAGTGTGAGCGTCGTGTATATGTAAGTAGGAGCAGGGGAGGGAACTGAATAGGAGAATGGAACCGAAACTAGGCTCGAGGGAGAACCGGGCTACAGGTAAAAGTTCAGGAGAGGAGGAGTAGAATGGGAAGAGGAGGAAAGGAAATGGAAGTAAAAAAAAGAAGAGAGTGTGGAGGAGGTGGGGAGATAATAACTTTATTTGAAAGTAGATGGAGTGGGGCGGTCGGGAAGGGACTGACGTCTTAATCTGTACCCATTCCGAGGCGTTAGTATGTGCTGAAGGCCTGCGATGTTCGGAGTATCGACGAATCGGCCGTGGTGACACTCAGGACGATAGACAAATGGTATGTAAAAAGGATCGAATCGGATTTCCCTCCCTCGAGCACTTTTGAATTCTTGCCCGCCGTCCTCGGACGAGAAAGCCACCGAAGGCCCTCTACCTAGGTGGTCTTCCCCGCCGGTGCTCTTCTTTCTTTTTCCTCCACTCTTGTCATATTTACACCATGTGTTTTAGTATAATTCGCCTGAGCCGGCTCCTCACGAATACTTTCTGTATAAGACATTCTCGAACAGAGGGTATTTCCAGTCGATCGTAGGTCGAGGTGGGACGAGCTATCTTTTCAAATGAAGCGGACACAACGATTATTCCCCGCTGCTTCCTCGCCGATTCGACCCTTCAAATCTCCTCGGGACACTGACTATTTAGAAAGATTTCCTCTCTTTTCATTTACTTTCTTGATCGACGTTGCTGTTGTTGTTATCATCCGGAGAAGATGAAGACATCTTTAATAAACCGGTCTACTCCGAGACGTTATTTGGCTCCATCTAAAAATTGTTCTATGTTTGTGCTATACGCTTATATGTGCAACGTTTCTCCTCCGACCTGGTGCTCGTACGCAGAAGAACTTAACATAATAAAAATAAAATAAACATCTTCTTCATTAAAAACAGTATTTTAATTACACGCAAGTGAGAAGTTTTGGGTATCTTTCATACATAAATAAATAATTCAGGAACGGCTGAAAAAATATCTAACAGTGTTTATATGCTAACAAATAACTTATTATTTATTAGTTTAGACAATTATACAGTGTAATTGTGACGTTATGAAAGTAGCATCTGTTTTTCGTACTTAAAATGCATTTTTACCCAATATTTTATAAAATATATATTTTATGAAATTAAAATCATTTTTGCGCAAGATAAAACTGCTGTTATGATACTCTGAGCTCAAGAAGTGGTTAAATAAATTTTTGAAAATAACGAATTAGCTAAACGCGTTTTAAAACGTTACAAATTCCTTCTAATAACATATGGATGATAAAATCGGCTAAAAACATGATTTTCTCATGCTCTCGACTTAACCACTTTCTCAACACCGAATTTTAACGAGAGTGCATCGATAACAGTTTGATTATACTGAAGAGTTTCATAAAAATCATAGCAAATCCGGGCGATGTAAGGAAAAACAGATGATAAATCTCTCCATCGCATTTGGCTCGTTGTAATTTACTTTTTGATCCCAGTTTTCCCTCGTTTTTGAAAATCCACCGTCTCCAACTTTTAATGATTCCTTATAATAAATCACCATCATCACGAGATGATTTTTATAACATAACCGGCCTACTTGAACCCTTAAGGAACAAGACTTTTCGGGTCACAAAAAAATTTAATATTTCTTTTTGTTATGACCCTTTTTATAATGGAACCATCTCACTTTGGTCCTAGGGGTATTGGGACAATTTTCCGGAGCAAAAATTCTTTTTTAAAATATGTTTTTGCTTTAATATTAATCTACAACTGTTGGTACACCGAATGAAACTGGCCCCAGGAAATTCCTAGCTTTAGAAGTGCTTCAAATAATTTTTTGAGAGGTATGAATCAAATGTTCTTCGGTGTACTTGCCTTAATGATCTTGCAATTCTCAATTTCCGATGGTGTCGGGAGATTGTTTTTTTGTTGTATATTCTGTGTCAAAAACTACCTTATAAACTGCAAAATCCATCCTGCAAGACGGATCGGTGTGCAAGGGTTTTGTGGGGTAAATTGGACGGCGCCGGGAAAAATTAGAGTGCTTCTCTTGAAAAATTGTATTTTTTCCACCTTGAGGTGCACTTTTCTTCAAAATTCTTGATCATATTGAAACGATTTTATTTTTCATTTCGTAGAGCAGTGATAGGCCAACAATCGTACGTAGCAATGTTTTTTGGAGAAACTCCAGGAGTGGAGAAATAATGTTTTTTATAAAAATATGTAATTTAGTCAGAAATTTATATCATTGCCCAAAATTAACAATTCACTATTTACAAAAAAAAATGTTAATCTTATATAATTATTAATATTAACATTATATCATTTTTAATTTTAATTAATTTTCATAATGTCTTCTAAGTGTCAGATATACACGATTTTTTCTGAGTTTAAAGTATTAAGTACTTTACTTAATGAATGGATTCATTTCAAATTAAAATAGGTTCATTAATAGGTTCAAATAATGGATTATCTTAAAATTAAAAAGGTTAATTTAGTATTTAAAAAAGTACATTTATGGTAAAAAAAGGGTAATTTTAAATTATAAACGGTTAGTTTGTAGTTATAAAAAAGCGGTTAGTTTGAAACAAAAATGATTCATTTTATGCTAGAAAAGATCAATTTTAAGAAAAAAGGGTTAATTTGTCGCGAAAAATTTGACGAGAAAAAACTGTACACATTCTACACGTTAAGTGACAAATACCAGGAAAGTTGTTAGAGCATATTAACATTACAATTTTAAATTGAGGTCTACCATAATTGTACAGAAAATGTGGGAAAAATGAAAAGAAAAACGCTTGAATTTATTGATATGTTACCTTACCTACTGAGGTACGAGTTAAAATACGATACAAATAAAAAATATATAAAACAGAACTTATAGATAAAAATGAAACAAAAGAAAATAAGCACAAACATAATAACAGAACTTGATTATCTGTTAGTTTATTAAATTGTACAGGATATAGCATGGTCTATCGCGACTTTACGGGGTAGCGACCATTATTTCGTACCCAAAAATGAATTTTGCTAATGCATTTTTTTTTAAAATTCAACTACAACCTTCTAAACGATTGAAACTATGAAATCTTACTAGATTCCGAGAATTAGAATTATATGTATAATATATACAGCGTGTTCGGCTACTCCTGTTACAAACTTTGCCAGTAGATTCTACATTCAAAATGGAACCAAAAAGTCCTAATTAACTATGGCCCGAATCTCAGCAGTATCGGAGTTATTCCAATTTTTCTGATTTTTTAAGATATCAAGACCTTGCTTCAAATAAACAATGGTAACTCCAAAACTAAAAGGTTTTGGACATATCCGTTGATACCATTAAAAACGACGTTAAATTTCAAATAAGATGTGATCAATACTAAACTTATAAACGTTCGTGAAATAAGTGTTTTAGTAGCGAGAACTTTGAAAATATTTTTTTTTTTCAAAATTGAAAAACATACTATAGTGATTCTAACTCAATATTTCAAAACCTAGAGACCAGCAAATTTCAGAAAATATACTCAATTTAACATCCTTTTTAGTGGTGCAATACTAGCTACAATGTAATGCTGTGACAAAATTTTACATCTTTATTTATTTCTCCATTCCTGGGTTTTTCTTTTTTTAAATAAATCGTTCGCCATCTATTTTTTTATATTTTTTAACGTGGGTTCGGAACAGCAGAGGTCATATAAACCCTCAGGGCGCCGGCGTTTTTGAAAAAAAGCCCATTTGTAAGTATGTCGAGTTCGAATGCAGGGCCGCTGGAATCGAACCTGGGACCTTACAGTGATGAGCGACGTGTCAAGGCCTAAACCGTTGCGGCCACCGACGCCCCCTGCACTACTGATTTATTACGAAGTTGTTAATTTTATATGTTTATAAAGAAAAACTTTTTTTTACGAGAGTTCGCAATATGGTTATATCAACCCTCGGGGTGCCGGCGTTTAAAAAAAAGCCCATTTGTAAGTATATCGGGCCGCTGGATTCGAACCCGGGACCTTTACCTTACAGTGATGAGCGCCGTGTCAACGCCTTAACCATTGCCCAAAAAAAAACTTTAACAAACATGATTGACAAGTAATTACGTTAAATTATGAAAGTTGCGCTTATTGAACGATAAACCCTATCCTTGCAGCAAAAGCAACCAAAGACCATCTAGACCTTATTCTCGACTTGCGCACTCGGTGGAGCATCATGCTAAATGAACAAATAATAGCCGGTACGTGAAGTTCACACTTAGCAGAGGTATCAGGGCTGCTGGATTCGAACCCGCGACCTTTACCTTACAGTGATGAGCACCGTGTCAACGCCCAAACCGTTGCGGCCACCGACGCCCCCGTTCGCTATCTATTAATACTAAAAAAAAAGTTTTGGAATAAAAAACGTACCATACTTGGAAAAATACAACTTTTCAAGGGAAGCAGTCGAATTTTTCCCGCTGCCGTCCAATTTACGCCATAAAATCCTTACACACCGATGTCTCTTCCAGTAAGGAAAATTTTTGAGTTTAGAAGGTAGTTTTTGAATACATAGAATACCCGTTACATACAGATTCAGATCAATCTTATCCGTCAAAAGGAAAGAGGCTTTTAATTAGTAAACACACCAAACTGGCGCAGTCGGTAGGACATCTCAAAGAACTTTGAGTGGAACTTTCGTTTCAACGGTGAATTTGCTGCATCCGACCTGATGACCATGATAAAATTTAGTTTGTGAGTAAGAAACTATTGTATTTTACAACAAATTTTATTGTCCTAATTTTTAAGCGTTTTGGGTTTGGTTATAATCTTAATTGTTGAAATGGCCAATTTTACCGAGTCTAAGTTTGATGGCAATCCAAAAACACCAACACAATTTATATTAAAAGCAGAAGAAGCCCGACGAATCTAATGTAAATCTAGAAAACGAATCCATCATCGTCAATGTGGATGAACTTGATGGAAATGCAGGTGAAAACATCGACGATGATGATGCGACGGTATATTCCTACGGAATTAGAAATGCGGTTACGAAAAAATTCACTTTTCTTCCACATCCTACATGTATTTGTTAAATTTAAACAATGTTTGTAAATCCCAGGCCCTGAAGATGATTTCAATAAAAATAGAAACGTTGGCACGATAAAGAAAATGTTTTTCTAGCGGCGTATCTAGCCGAAGATCGTGGGTTCGAATCCCGCTCGTGCCATTGACTTTTTCATCTCAACTAAAAACCTTAATTAATTGTTATCTATTAATTGGTCAAGCGGACAACGAAATTAGTGAATTTAATTATACCTAATATTAACTATTTTCTTCAACCCAAAATG